TTTCTACGATCCTAATTAAAAACATTTTAATTTGATGTTTTATTAGTTGAAAGTGCATAAAAATGGTGAGAACAGTTTGTTGCCGTTTCGTACAAGTGGAGGATCGAAAAATAAAGAAACCCTACTTGGGAGGATGGAAGCACAAAATTACCGGCGTAGAATATTTAAATGCCGAGTCTCAAACAGGTCCACTAAGACAATCATTAAAACAGAAATGTAGTAGAAAAGTGCAATACATTGCTTGGGCAGATGTATGTACCCAAACACCATGCAACCATCCAACGCAGATGTGGCGGTATATGAGGCTTTTTACTCTTTGCTTTAAAAAAACTTTTCAAGTCCTTTCCACCATAATAAGATATTTTTTGCATATGTTCTTTGTTGATTTATGCTTTTCTCCTCGTCCAGAGCTGACTGCTTTATATCGGGCGAATCGGACAAATACGTTACATCGAAACCGTACGAAACGTATGAAGAAATGATGGAACGTCTTGATTATGACGGAAAAGCTCGTATAATTCAAAGAAATTATAGAATATACATATTGTTGAAACGCGTTAAAGAATTTGCAAGACAATATCGTGAACTGCTTGACGATTGCAAGCAATACGAAGCGGAAAAAATATTAATATACAGGTACATTTGGATCAAAAAATTTATCAAATCTGTGAACTAAAATGTGATAAATCGTCTTAGGAAAAGACACCAGCAAGAAATCCTACGAAGGATAGATCCAAAAACTCGGTTGGATTTCGACCTGTTGTATGATATAGTCGAGAAGTGGAGGCGGGATCGCCTGGAATGCGCGAAGCAGCGTTTCTTCAGGCCGGCGAGGTGTGCAGAAAATTATTTGATCCTGCAAAAAACCGTGGAGATGTTCGGAGTGATCGACCAAAAGCGATTGGCAGTGAAGAAGCGGTACAGGAATCGGAAGCGTGTGAGGTTCGTTACGGCGAACTGCAAGCCGATTTTGTGGAACGGTTACAAGAAAATGCTGCTGGAAATGGACACCATGAGAAATCAGAAGGCGAGGGAGTTGAGGATCATTTATGACTCGTTGATGAATTACGACGTGACGCGCGGCGAACGTATAGAGATACTCACGATGCTGAAGAAATCGTTAGAGGTGCACAACTGCGTGGCTGCGTTCAAACTAATACGACTGTTGGATCAAGAGCTGACCTACTTAACGAGGGGGATGAAAGGCATGTCACTGGACTACTTCCGGCAAAGGATACTTTGTAAGAAAAAATAATCTGACAGATTCTACTTCTCGACGCTTCAAGTTGTTAGAAGAATTGTTAGCGAAACTTCTCTCTTTCCTTGGTGGTGCAGACAGTTATTTGAACTTTCTGCGAACATCGCACTCGTGCTGCTGCACGAATGGCGACCAGCACTTTTGCAAGAATGTGGACGATGACAAACTCCGCGAGCCGATCGCGTCTACGACGAAACAGTGTCGCAGTTGTTTAAAGCTGCTTCCGCTTGAGAAATTCACCGTTCATGGAAGGCTGAAGAAATTATCCACTTGTATTGGTACAATTTAATCTGATTTGGCAGCCACAGTCTCCGACGATTTCAATTAATTTCATTTCATAGTTGAATTTTTAAATAGTACCATTTTTCTGGAACATCATGTGTAGAGATAAGATGTAGAAACGATTTCCTCTTTAAGGATGCACTTGGCTGCGCGAGCGGAACATAGCGCACGTAAATTACGATCCCTATGTGTACCTCTTAAATTGCGTGCGTTCCGAGGAGAAGAAAAAAGAATCACCCTCGGGAATTGTGTTTATGATGCAACAACACGATATGTTCCATTTGGTGAACAATATCTGGCACGGTCACTCGGTTGTCAGCGGGAACACAGATATATTCCAACTGCGAATTGTTCGATACCACACGGACACTGAATGGTCACCGTGGAACTGCATACTTTTGACGGATGGGGAGGCTGAGGTTCATCGCAGAATCAAGGATCTCGCGAGTATTTACTCGAAGCCACTTATCGAGCAAATCGTGTTAGCTCATCAGTTAGCCAAGAACCAATTTAAGTACGTGCACATATGCAGGGTGTACCAGAAAAAGTGTTAGAGCTGAAAAGGGGTGATTCTGAAGGTGTTTTCGAACAATTTCCTTTGGTAAAATGCAAAGTGAGCCAAATGGTTTTTGAATTATTAACGAAAAATACTGACCAATGAGAGCACGCGTATGGTCCGCGCTCAGCCACGGGTGGGTAGGTTGGCCCCGTTCGTGACGCTCGGCCGTGGCATAGCGCGGGCCCTATTTACAGGTCAGTTTTTAAATAAACTCATAATATATCAGAGCGAAGCAGAGGCAGTTCGTGCGAACGTGAAATTCCGCGAAAAATCGAAAAATTACCGCTTTCATATCGTTCATCGTTCTCGATGCAAGTGATCGAAACTGGTTCGACGAGATTGGTCTTTTTTTGGGTCGAGGGATATATAAAATCGAAAAATAATGGACTAGAAAGTACTTTTGACCGATCGACCAAGCAGGTTGCCATTGGCAACGGTGGATTTAAGGCTTTGAGCTTTCAGGTGGTGCGGAGGTCTTCTATGTGGACTGCGTTCTGTATTAAGAGTTCCGTCCTTCTCTTCGCTACTGTTTCTACGACCAGTGCCCATTTACAACTTAACTCATTCTAGAATCTATACTCTAATTCACAACAACTTTGGAACGAACTACAAACCAAATTCATTTCTGAGAAGACAGAGCTGAAAGTTTCAGAACACTGTAATTTCTTGCACTCTTTGTTTTTAGTTACCCTGTCGTTTCTGAGTTTTTACAAGCGGAACGAGAAAAAGGAAGTAAAACAACGCAATGGTCCTGTAGTAGGTCAATTAAAGCGACATTAAACGAAATAGAGAAAGGGGTATAAACTCAAGCAAACACGCGTGCGTGTTTCCCTTGTTTAAGGGGATGCATTACGCGTGATGCATTTAATGCACCGGGCGTGCAACGCGCAATGTACATAAGTTTTACGGTTGCCCGCGTTCTCGCCTATGCACTTCCCTATTGCACGCCGGAATTACCGGCTGGATTTCCATTAGCTATAAAACCTCGAAGGGTGCATTCCTCCGTTCGCCGCAGACGCTAAGCTCTCGCCGACGTTCGGCAGGATAACGAGGAATTAAGCGCAGAATTAACGGGAATTTATAACTTGGGAGGACGCCGAAGAATATCTTACAATCTCGTAGCTCGAGATCTTTTCTTCATTTCTTGGTCAATAGCATATTTTATTGTGCGTGACTTTATCCTTGGTAGCAATAAGTTTAACTTTCAATCTCAGAATTTTTATTTCGCGATCGTTGACCAAATATGATTCAAAATATTTATATATTGATAGTACATAATTATAAATCACTTAAGCATTCAAAAATAAGATGTAGATTTATTATTCATTTTGAATTTTGTCGCCTTAGAGAAAACTAACACAATTCCGAACTGACTCAGTTTCATTGTTACTAGCTGTACTACAACCAGTAAAGGAAGTTTTAACATCGAGAACGAAATCTCCAATACTTTTTACAACATATTTTTGCAAGCAGATAGTCCAACGATTGATTTTGATCACCCAAAGCTGCTTGGTCAATGGTTACGTTTACGATGTCGTTGATAGTTTTTTGATCGGGTCAGCCAACCAACTTATTTGCGGTCGAATTTATGCTGGTAATATACTTATTTATAGTCGAATGTGTGCCATGGTCGTTTACGGTGAAATTTATGCTATACTAAGCGATCACCGATAGCGCCACGTTTATGACCGAATTTACGACACGATCGTTGATGATTGGCGGTATAATATTTACGTTGTTTTGTTTAGTTACGAACGAGTTGGTTTACGCTTTTGTCAACTATTACATGCTGCGGAGTTACAGAGAAGAGATCAATGTCTAAAGTTATTATTAGCTAGTGTGTAACATCTAACTTTTAATCTTTGATAATGAAATTTCGCTCCTCAGATATTTAAACAATTTATTTATTACAATTACCAATAAACAATGTTTGTATAAAAATGAATATTTTTAAGAAAAAAATGATTTTCTTGTACTTTATAAAACACGTATAAGCTTGAAAACACATTGTTATTTTACTAAAATCAATTCTAAAAATGTCTTAAATTTTGAGGACTTATTCTTTAACATCTACTATAATTCTTGTTTAATATGTTTCATATGGGTTGTCCGATAACAATCGCAGTAGTAGACACGGAAATTGGTGCGACCTTGTTCTTATCGGTGCACACAATTCTGCTTGCTTGTATGTAGTTTATGAGGCTGCCAGTTTCACCCTGTTGTTTGCTTCCGATGATTTCTAATGTCGCATTGGTGCATTTACATTACGCTACACGCCTGTTAATGGCACGTGGTTGTGTTTACAATACTCCACGTGGCTCCTAATGTCACTGCGTGTGTGCGTTGTGTACGTTGCATCACACGTTCCCTTTGGTCTGCAATGCACTTGTAATGACAACTCCGAATCATATTTGCTCAGCAGCCTAAGTTATGGATCCCATGTAAATCCGGCTATTAGCTTCCAGTCAAGCACCGGACCGCAACGGCCGGAAATGGGGATTTGATCGTATTATCAAACACGAAGGATATTACTCTATTGTCACTTATTATCTTTTACAGACACCATCTATTGTTGCGGTGGTTGTACGGATTGTATTAAAATTTATTCAGTGAAGTTACAAACATTGTCGCAATTGTTACTTAAATTTAAAGTCCGCGGGAAGTTATTGAAAGGGGATCAGCCAGTCGGGGATTGAGACGATTGCTATCTGCGAATCAGGGTAAGAAGAAAGAAGACACGCATCCGCGAAAACAGCAACCCGATTATCTAAATCCTTGCGGCCAATTTCGTCTACCCATCCCGGTGTCCAACAATTCGCTCGTTTGGAATTGTAAAACGGCGGACGATGCAGTCTCCTCGGCGAATCTTTTAAACCGTGGCATAGTAATTTCCTTTATTGCCACATTACCATTATCCCCGGTTAGCTTTCAGCTGGCGGTTATCCTTCCGCGGTCGCGTTGTCCTTTTTTCATAGCTGCGCTGATCGACCGTGCCACGATGGCTTAAGAGGCGTATCCACTTGTATCACATCGCATCATTTTCCGTATCATAGTTGCACACGTCCGCTCATGTGATTCTCTGTATGATTATCTAGACTGAGATAATATCATACTCTCGTTCCATTTTCCAATTGAAATAGTCTCTGATAATTACTAATTTAGAGTATTTGTCAAAACTTTTAATGGATAATAACTATTTGTAATATCCTAAGTCCCACGAACTAAGATGTACGCTAAATCATTGATAATGACAAGTAATGATGATATGATACAAATGGATATGCGCGTTTACAGCGAAGTTCAAATGGAGAATCCGACGAGCGAGACGAAACCGTTTTTGGGCGGGTGGAGGAGCAAGGTCACCGGTATAATCTATTTAAACGCGTACGCGCAGACCGAAAGGAAGAAGAACGAGAGAAGAGTGCAGACGGAATTTACCATGGACAAATTCACGAATATGGAACGCAACATCGGAGTGCAAACGAATTTCTTCCCCGACGTTCGCGACAGACTCGTGAAGAGCACTCTCAAGGATCCGAGCTTCAAGCGTGACACGGACGAGAGGGTCCTGGAAAGTGTCGTAAAGATACAGAGGTTTTACAGGTAAGGTAATTTATTTAAAACGATGCAAGTTGAAGTAGGGAGCAGAATTTCAGAGAGAAAGGAATGTTCTCTATATCTTTGGTAAGTGGACACAGAAACTCTTTATTAAATTGGTTCATTGTTAATTATCCTAACTGCCACGAAGGGAACCATAAAATTTGATGTTATAAAGCGATATACAAAATAGTCGCGTTACAGAGAGAGAGAGAGAAGGAAATTTTTGTTTAAATCCCGACGTAAAACTTTTCCAAACTATCGAGAGATTACAAGTAACTTTTGAAATGTAACAGAGATTAATTTAAACAGCTCCAGCGTAGCTACATTATTACTACCTAAATGGACTTGTACAATTTTATAATTCCTTTCTAAGCTGCAATACATTTACTCCTAGTTAAATCTTTTATCGAATGAAAATTTTCAAGAAGTGCACAGTGCTTCAAACTTTCTTCTTCGAGTAGATTCCCTAAATTTTCGGATTAGTTAAACGTGTTGAGAAAGAATCCTACGCTCCGATCCGAGTATCGCAATACGTGGACAAGCTCCCAGTTAGACGAAGTCTTGAGGAACACCTGTTCAAACGGCCATTCGCCGGTGTCCGCAGAGCTCACCATCGTCAGGAGACCGCGAACGGCGCTTCGGTTCGTCCTAAGAACACGGACCGACAACGGCAAATACAGCCGGAACCACCGAATCCCTATCGTAGCCGGGATTTCGTGATACTAAACCGCACGCCGCCGACCACCAGGACGGACTTCGAGTTGCTGTACAATCTGCTGGACCGTTGGCGCGTCCGCGAGACAGAGACGGCTAGATCGCAATTGTTTGAGCCGTCGAGGCTCGCGCTCTGCAGTTTAATCCTGTCGAAGGAAGTGGAGCTACTCCGAGCCATAGACGCGATGAAAACTACTGTCAAATTCAAGAAGAAAGAGAAGTCGTACAGGAAGTTCCTCGACGAGCTGTCGAAATTGGTGCCATGGAAGAACAGTCGCGGAGAAATGATCTACGTGGAGACTGAACGCGTGCAGCGGGCTAGATACTTCAGAGATATCTTCGAACAATTGTCAGATGACGACAGAAGCGTTAAAGACCGGTTGGAAGTGTTGAGGAAGCTGAGGAGGGACACCGAACCCCACACCTGTAAGATAAGCGATGAAGTGATACGTCTATTGGATCAAGAGATTGATCTTTTAATTCGTAATGTAGATAGGAGTAAGTTGAACTGGTTGAGGAACAGATTGAAGATGGCTTTCTTAAAACTTGCCAGAGAGGCATTAAGGAACGAGTGCGAGGATGCAGATTTAGTTGGTTGTGTGTCTAAAATCGTCTGCAGGAGCTGTGGCAGGCTGTTGCCTATAGATAAGTTCCCGTGCGATAAAGAGCAACGTTCTTTATCATGTAATTACTGCTTGTACGTAGAAACTCGGAACGAGCCTAGAATTGTGTACGAGGCCTACGAGAGATTGCTCCGCGACTTGAGACGTCGCGAAGCCAAGCTGCAGTGTTACATTAGTTTGGCTTTCGTGATCGACGCGAAGATCGTTTATCATTTGGTGAACGATATTTGGCATGGGAAATCGGCGATCTCTGAGAACGACTGTCTGGAAGAATTGAGACTGACAAGATTTCGAAACGACCAAGAGTGGTCCCCGTGGAATTGCCTTCTGTTAAATGCGGAGGAAGCTTCGTTGCACCGGAAGATCAAAGACCCCGATAACTTTTACGGTGCGATGATATTGCAGAAGTTCTACACGAAAAATTTGCTGGCCAAAGCTCGGTTCAAATCCATACTCGAATTTAACAGTGGTCATGAACAGAGCGAATCTAATTAACTTTTACTCTATTTCCAATTGTTACATAACGTTTACTTAAAATACATATTATAATTATTGATATCTTTTAAGCAGGTAGATGACACATGTAGAATACTTTCAATAAAAACGTAAATATATTCTTTTAATCATTGAACGTTATTTGTCACACATTCTGTTTTCCCATCTGAAATTGTTAAACTCGAATAAAACCCTAAACTCTAAAGTAAAACTTTAAACATTCTCTGGCTATTAAGCGAGGACCTAGCTTTATGGCGGCAGAAATAAAAAAATTAGGTATAGGTAGCGCGGCAGTTAAAATAGAAAATAATAATAAAGCGAAGCAAAACGCTCGTCTTATGGTTTATTGCCAGCTGCGTAACACGCGTAAAGATTCTAGCTTTTATTTCACAGCAAACGGTGTCGTAACTCGAAAACGTTCCATGGTTTTATACTTGGAACAACGATTTGTCCTCGGGAAGTTCTTTCATTGATCTGAATTTTGTTAAATTCTAACAACGACCACCGTATATTTTAATTTTCGTGATAACGTCGACACACTAAAGATCGAGTATCTCATTCATGAGATCATTAAGGAACGTCATTCCAGGTAAATATTAAATATATTCACAGAGGACCCTTTGAGTTGTGTGCGATCGCCCGATCAGCCGCTGCTTATTATTGGTCAAACAGTTGCTAAAGCCGGTATCATAAATTTTTAAGCATGCCATTGGACGAACTTTCTCATCAAAACTACCAAATTGCACCATTTTTGGTATAATAGTTTATCAACAATTTTTTGAACATTTGCACTCACGTGGCTGGAACCACGTCTTAATTGTTGTGGTTATTCAAAAATAAGGACTCGTGGAATAGTGTAAGAGTAAAAAATATATTTAGAGTTAATATAAATTGTACTAAAAATAAACTGGTCAGCTCTGCACACTGGCAGCGTTCCGTTACCAGCTCGCTGTTTTCAGGGTGATGAGCCTAGCATACAGCGAAGAATTGTAATGTAGTAAGAAGACGTTATGCTAATAGCTGATATCGTTTTCGTAGCCCTGGCCGTACATATCTGGAAACTACTATATATTTTGGCATAAACTTTGAATGAGCACGCGAGTAAAAAGTTCCGTACGAATGTAGGCGTATCGTTTATTTAGTACTCGGACGGTCTTGTTTTCGACAGCGAGGTCGAACTACCACAGACGAAGTCGCAGTTACAAGGTGGCTGCCGAATTGAACGCGTGCGTGCCAACTCGCCTGCATGTCTACTATCAACCGCAATCATCACGAGCAAACAGCTCTCGGAGTGCTACTTGGATGCGTGCTCTCATGCACATGCCTAATTTAATTGCTTAAAGCATATCGTTTATTTTTAAAGTAGATTCTTGTTCATGTAGAGAAACTGAATTTGTCACATGTTGATGTAATGTTTATTGGGGTTGGTGAATAACAAGTAATAAACGGAGCAGTAGCTCTACTGTGGATTATATATTCCACATCTAGTAATACAGACACGGTTAAGTAGTTTAGGGTCGCATATGGTCAGACATCCGGTCTCATGTAAGACGATTATACATTATACGCTCAAACCTATACATACGCGTGTGTCGTATATGTATGCAAGGTGCAACTACGTCAAGCTGACATAACAGTCCCTTCCTGTAAATTGTGCAGACCAAACATCTAACAAAGTTGTAAATTGCTATGTCTGTGCTTAAGGTAGCTCGCTACTTAGGTAACATATCAAGAGAGGGCCCTACAATGGGTTTATTTTAAAATAAAAATATGAAGTGAAAATTTCATTATTAAATGTGTATTATCATTTTCATTACATTTTAATGTTGTATTATAAAAAAGTATAGACAAAGTAAAATAAACAACTTTTCATTTACGACTGGGGCGATGAAAGTATTATTCATTGGCTTTGATCATTATTATTTCGTTCTTTTCCACGGAAACCTATATTTTTCTTTACATCATCGCATTCCCCGTAAAAAAATCTATAACCATCTATTTTTTTATTGAAAACGTATATGATATGAAATCGCACGAGGCATTTATATAAAAGTTTCCATAAGCTCCCGTGTTAAAAATAAGAATTTTCTAATGCATTTTTTTAAACAATTTTCACGGAAACCCTATATTTTCAATTTATTTATCAGTCTTCAAACGCAATATCCCTATTGATCTTTTTATTAGCAAAATCTTCTGAATATCATCGAATTAAATTTTTGTTCTTGACATCTTCCATTAGACTTATATTGCTGCATCTTTCCTCTCGTTTTTTATTATCCTTCTTATTAGCCTTTGTTTTTATAAACTCCCAATTAATTAGCTATCGGACGATTAATCATTTTTCCCGATACGGCCAACGAAAGGAAACTAATAAACCGAAATGGGGTTGCAGCAACGATTAATTTTCTTCTTTTCTTTCATTTTTTCTCTTTCTGTCTCTGTCCTATGAGTCGAGACTAGTCCTTAGCTAGCCGTGGCCAGTAATGCGAGAAATCGATACATTTTTACAGATAGATTCGATTACAGGATAAATTTCAACTTTTCCGTTGCCGCACGTGGATTATTTGCTTTCAATTAATCATTTCCTTCAATTAAGCAACAAGCGAAAGCTAATAAAGTGAAAAAATAAAAGTCGCAATCATTAACTTAAATTTATCGCCCGTTTTATTAGTCGTACAGAACTATAACAATCTGCAATCTGTTGAGATGTATTACAATAAAATTAACTTCAATAATCTTTTGTATAACTGCGCGTAAACTTTAATAACAACACAATCGATCGTTCGATCACATAATGTAACAAATAATGAAAAGTATGAATATAATTTTGCACGTGAGTCAACGTTTAACTTATGGTCAGAACAAGCTTACATTAGCTAACTATTAGGCTGGTGTATATGCAGTGTTGTGTGTTTCTAAACTTCGCCAACATCTATTCTATTTTGTCTCGTCACGTATTATTATAAGTTAAAGTTCCTATGCACCAGTCTGGTATTTAAAATCAATCAACTATGCTTTAAATCAATGGGGAACTATCAAAATTGTTGAACGGAGAACCGATGAATTGTTTTCGGTCCTCAATGAGAAACAATAACAGGATATTCTGTATATTATCAACCACAAATTCGGATGCGTAACATCGTTCCCCGATACAATGAGTTTTATAACCGCGGACAAAGCGTTTGGAAAATCAGTGTCATTATTATATTACAATAAAACGCTCGCACGCTGCCGCGGCTAACATTAATAGACTGACGTAATGACAGATCGTCGATTGGATACCATTGGTTCCATTCGCTGATCACGTTCGATTTTAACGATTAATTTATTTGGCCAGCGAAATGTCTATGCAACTGTTTACACAATAATCGTTTGAGTAGATTCAGAAACGAGCAGTATTTAGAGATTGATCTTCCGATCTCTGTATACAAATTGCTTCATTATGTAAATCCCATTTATAAAATTTATAAATCATCGCATATGAGCTATGATACCGTCTATGATTTAATGCAGGGTTTACTATGTAATTTCTTATATTTAAGATTACTTTAAGCATTTGCTGAAGTCCCTGTTTCCTCTACAATATAGGGTCTGAAAACATGGGATAGACAGGGATAGCAAATGCTTAAGACGATCTTAAAAATGAGTAACGACTCTGAATACCGGCCTTTGTCAGTTAGACTGAAATCACACGGATTGAAAAAAATAGTGCAAACAGAGTACTTAATGCTAAACAGTATTAGCGTCAACGCGAAGCAGTCCAGCTTGCCCACGAAAAGGCTCCGGTTGCTAAATATTTAATAGTGCTCGGTTATAGTCTATCGTTAAACTGTCATTAATTAATTTCGTAGCTCGTTAAAAGGATAATGAAGCGTGTCTGCTTCTCTGATATACGAAGAAGCCACTTTGTCAAATTTCATTGTCAGTATGAATTACACCGCTCATACAAGGAACGAAACGGAAGTTTACGATATGGTTTAATGTCTTTTCTCGTGTGCGGACAACAGCCAGGGTGGCAGGGAATCAAGTTAACGCGAGAAAAAAGAGTGTATCGCGATGAAATGAAATCGGTGTTTACGAACAGTTGAGACAATAAATCTGTCCACGTTGCTCGGGTCCCAATGTAAACAAGCTTGATCTGAGCTTTCTCGCTTAATAAATTATGAATGCTTCTGGAACAGAACATTTTTCATACGCTATTTTGGTATTGGTTCTTGCGACATAGTTGCAATTAGGTGTTTCAAGGATCAATAACGTCTCATTTTTCGATCAAGAAAGAAGAAGGTTCGAGATCCAAGGAAACATCAAAGACGTCGCCGGTTCTAAAGACTCGTGCAAAAACCTGATCAACTTTTTGAACAGCATTAAATTGATGAAATTGATTTAATTATATTTCTTGTGTATAATATTGTGGTTGCTAGTGATCCTTAAGAGGTTGATGCAACTCTAAAGATAAATTAAAAAAAAAAGGTAGCTCGTGAGGACTCTACAATGGGTTTATTTTAAAGTTCGAAACTTTAACTATTGTTTTGTTCAATTTGTATTAAAATCGTAAGTTTTGTAAATGCTATCGAGCTACCATAATTGAGCGTTCTTGCTATCTTTCTTTTAAAATGAAGAACATATTTAACGGACTGTATCGTTCAATATAATTCTAAAATAATTCGATAATTAAGGAGCGTATCCTTGATTCAATCGACAACATTTCTCAAGATGCTTCGCGTCGTTCGTTATCGCATCAGAGATAGTCGTTCGAGAGCGAGCGGACAGGAGACAAAGAATCGGCTAGAGACGGTTTAAAAATGTCCGTCGTTACTGTACAAGGCGAGGTCAGCCCGTAAACAAATTATACGTACGGAGAACCAGCGATAATTTATGTGCTCGGAGACCGTGTAGTGTAGAGTGTAGGGTGTAGACTAGCGTGGTCCCGCGGAGCATAGACGTATAAAAATTGTTCTCCCGGGCAATCGTCCGACGAAAAGTTTCCCGCGGTTCTTCCTG